TCGAAATATTAGTTTTCGTTTTGTTTTCATTCCATCACAAAGACTTAACACATTAACACAGCAATAGCTACTAGCACATTAAATGATATTCTAGAATGATTTTTTAGGAATTTGAATAGTGTTCCTATATTGTTTGTATGACGAGGATATGCTTCAATTTGGGGGGGATTAGCCCTACAAGATTATTCAAAGTTCCCTTAATATTAAAATAATATATTTTTTTTTATTTTATTAATTTGTACATATTGTTTATAGGAAGATTATAGTTTACCCCTTTAAAAAAAATGAATTTTATCCATTTATGAGGGTACATAAAACATTTTCGAAAGTATCCTGTTATATAATGCTATATTCGTTTTTATAATATTTCTTAGCAATAAAAATGTCTAATATCTAAATATTTAAAATTAGTTCATTCTTAAAGGAATGTTCTATATTATAAGTTATCGTCGATGGTAAACACAAATGGGAAGACAAATTATGCTGATCGGACGAAATTATTCAAATTTATAGCTTTGTATGCTGTCTAAGCTTGTACATCAATTTAAACGTCGAAATCATCTACTTTAGAATCCAGTTAGTACACAAGACCAGGTATGGTCTATTTTTTTCTCGTAAAATAAAAAAAAAATTTTAATCGCCAAGTTGTATCTCAGCTCGTTTCTCTTGTCGGCACCCAATGCCCAGCTGTTGTGACCCGGTCGGGTTTTTTATCGTATTCTACGCATTCATTTTTATTTCATATGTTGTTCTTTCTTCGTCGCACTTCATTATAATATTATGTTGCTACGGTCACGAACCGGTTTCGGAAATGATGCTGCCGAACAAAGTTCCGGGTCTCCCGCGACTGGAGAAGAGTAACATGGAAACATACAATATAATATGCGTATTCGGTGTGAACGACGCCGGAGCACGCGGTCTGCCGTAAGCAGATCCCGATTGGGATGTATAATAAATATAGAGTTTATTTTGTTACGTAACGATTTCTTATAATATCGGTATCGTACTTATAATATATACATATTAATATAATAGACGACAAGTAGTATTCAAAAAATATATTTTTAAATTTTTCATCTTATGACCGAGTCAATAGCGTTATTATCATTGTGGATTCCAAATAATAGTAGTATTAAATAATATCCACTTTCTGACTTTCTATATTAGGTATGTTATAATATAATAAATAGCGTGGTGTGTGTTGTACTTTTCGTGAGAGTTTGGGATTATTATTATGATTTTAATTTATTTAATATGTACATTGTAAATATATCACATAGATTTATTGTATTAATTATTCATTATTGGTGTATAAGAGGTGATAGGTTGGATACTTTGATTTAAGCACAATACCTTTTATTTTATCATAAAATTATATGTACCTATAGTATATATCCTAATACTTGGTTTCGAATAAGTATCAGTTGCTGTATAACAATATTATTTAGATATTAAGCATACTAAAAATAATCTAATTATCGTACATATCACCCATTATCAAAAAAGTTGTGCTAATTCGAGTTCTGAAATTGTTTTCGTTGATTTGATATTTTATAATTTGATTTTGGACCTAGCGCACGTCGGACAAGATTTTTTAAATTATTTATAATATCAGTTTTAATATTATTTTTATATGCTGACCTGAAATAGCATCGGAGATCATTCGTTTAGATGTTCCAATGTGGTTGACCCACTTATTTATATATTATATTATAGTTGCTTCTAATTCTGCTTGTATCATATATGCGATTTGGTCTCATTAACTAACAAGGCATAGCGAACCCCAAGGGACTTAATTTATTGTTTCTTATAGTTATTTTTTCCTTGTACATTGTTGTAGTCACTTGTTAAAGGGTAAACTAATAACATAACGTAATTAAGTTCATGCATACACGTCATGTAGAGACATAAAATATACAATATTGTTCCTTTCGGTTTTATTTTCATACATCGGTGCGATTTTTAAGACTAAAGGCGCTTTTAATTTTTATATTTGATCTTATTATTTAGTGCGTATGTCTTACTATTATGTACAATACTATTAAAAAAGTGTCTATGTACACAAGACGAATAAAAGTTATTAAAAGTATTTTAATGATGGGATAAAACTGATAACAGAAATTGGCGTTTCGATATTTACGAAGATACGGAGATTATTCAAACAACTACGCTTAGGTTTCGGAACAAATTGTATATCGTGTACTTACCTGTTTTATTTATCTTTTTTTTTCCGCGATAGGCGCGATAGATGGTCAACATTCAAGAGTACTGTTGTAATGATACGCATGTTTTATCGAACTGCAGTGTTTTCCCTCGTGTGTGTTCGAACCCGACATCCTATTGAACGGGATCGCTTATTTTTTTATTTTAACATCAACTCGGTTTTCCTTGAGCGACTTCGCACGCAGTGTCGGCATGCGCATACGGTTACTTTCACATAGCATTCCGATTGATTTTCGCACGATTCAAATACCAATACACGCACACATTATGTGTATTACTATACATTTATGTATAATACATGTCAAGAAATTCACGGTGCCGAATATAATAATATGTAAAGGAAAATAAAAATATCCATTTATTTCCATGTTTGTTTGTGCGGAATAATATTCACGCCATGTCATTCACAGATCAATTTGTAATATGATTAATAATAATTAATATAAAGTATGTAACACTATATTATATGCCACCAATGCATCATGTATAGTAAACTTTAATAACCAAGATGCAATTAATGCAACGATTAATTATGTATATATATACGACTGCTACATTATCGATGAATAAAATAAATTGTGTGATGGGTATAGGAACATTTAATGATATTTAAAAATCTCTATTATATCTATATCTTACTTGCGTATATATGTAGTAGGTACATCATAATCATATTATCATTTGTTAATTTATACACATCACCACTTTTGGTATATTCTGATTGTATATTTGACCTTCATCTCTAGTTCTCAGATACATAATATAATGTAATCGATTTTTGGACCGTGATGGAAACTATCGGTGCGAAAGCTTTTACAAATAATCATAATGAGAGTTCTGTGTTCAATACTTATAGTAATGTATTATATCATATCATATTCAGATATTTTTAAGTAGATAATCGTTTATGTACCTATAATAATATCGTACCTTTCATTAAATTCATTATAGACAATCTACGGATTTGGTGCGTAATTTTCTCTGTTATGAGTCTTTGGGGGAGGGGGGCGTACCTTTATGGACAATAATATAAATTTTTGCAGGCACTCGTATTCACGTCAAAACAAGCGGTATAATATCGTCTATTAAAATAGTAATAACAGTGTCCGATACGTGGGCTGGGTCACGCGACTCGCACCAATGTCGCGTCGCGGAATAAATCATTGTTAAATGAAAATAATAAAGAAAAAAAGGATTGTCATCCGAACACGCCGTTGATTCGTGTCGAAAACATTGTACGTATACGATGTACACTAAAGAAATGGAAAACTTTGTTCCGACCCGATCGTGGTTGTCGTCGTCGATACGCTGCACTGTGTTTATTGTCACAAAAAGAACACACCGGAACGTGTGTACGCGTGATTGTGGCGACAGTGTATATAAAATACGTACATTTGACGTGAAACCTTGAAATTCGTCTATCTCCTTTGAAATTTATTGTCCATGAACCGTGACTACATTGATTTGTGTGTCCGAACATGTTGTTTTATAGGTGAATATGTTGCTAGCCGCATTGTACTAGTCTCAAGGCGGTATCCTGTGACGCTTTAACCTTATTTTTATCGAAAAATATAATATACAATATTATTAGGTCATAGGACTCTGAAATAAGAAATGCTTATTAATTGTTTTTAATTACCGCGCAGAATGTATGGTACCTACCAAACTATTTTTATTTTAGTCGAATGAAAATGTTCCAATGACCTTGTAAGAAATGATTGATCCCGCAGATTTATTCAACTGAAAATTAAGGATATAATAAGTATAGGTCGTATTGTCGTATTACGAGAACATAGATAAACTTTGATTCAAAACGTATAAAGATATTGTCTTTCTAAACATTGTAATGATACCACACGTTATTTTAGACAGCAGTTTATTTACAAAATTATATTCAGGTTAGGTTAGGTTGGTTATGGTTGGGTGTGAGCTTTTATCCTAATAATAATGATAATAATGTGATAGGAAATCTTCTTGATTATCTGTAGTCGCAAGACATCATTCCTAGTAATTAGAAAGCCGTCGCTGATTATTTCTATTTACAAATCCAGTACGCATGTTTAATCAAAATGTTGTTGCGTTGTCATCCGCGTACGCTACGCCACCTCCTACACCACACCTACGCTATGTTGTACGACGTTCCGATCGCAGAACCGGTATTGGCACGAGCGCGAAATAACAAGTTACTTAGTAGGAACCTGCAAAAGTACGAGAGGAGTGTGCAGAAATTGGGAATCGTGATCCGTGTGCAATATGATGCCGATGGACGCGCTAGCTTGGAAAAGCCAGCGCATAATAATGCTATCATAATATATTATGATGAGTTGGCTGTTGCTCCACGTGAATGAACCGTTCTACACTTGCGTGATGAGAATACTGTAAATAACTAATGCTATTATATAGTATTATACACATACGTGTACAACAAAGGGTGATGATAATTATGTCGAAAGCTCTAAAAATAATAATTACTGAGTTCTAAAGTCATACGAATTCGTATGTACATATTATTAGTCCACCTGTAACGTTTACGATTGTTTATCGGTAAAATAATATAAATAATACAATATTACATCTATTTATTTATTTATTCATGAACATTTTAAGCGATATTATCCATCTAGTCGTGAACTTGGTATCTAGTCCACGGTGGTTTATTGTACCCATTACCACCCACACAAACTTTATTAAATACCTATTCGTGTTGTCTGTCGTATGTGTTCTATCAAACCTCTGACCTTAACTGTATCTAACGTTTTATCATTTTTCGGTTTCAGGTGAAATGTGCGTGGAGAAGCCGCTGTGCAGCCTTTGGAAAAACTACACGTGCAATCAGAAACCGGACGTGCACATGAAGTTGACTATCACACAGTCGGGTTTGAAGGCGTTTACCAAAGAGCACGGGCTTACCGAATACTGGAGTCACCGGGTCACCTATTGCCTGGCGTCGCCGCAATTCCCGCGAATATTCTGCTGGGTGTACCGGCACGAGGGTCGCAAGCTCAAGCAGGAACTCAGATGCCACGCGGTCGTGTGCACCAAAGAGTCGGTGGCCAGACAGATCGCGGGCCAACTGCGCGGCCGCCTGGCGCAGGCTCTCAGCGAGTTCAAGCGGGATAAGATCAGCCGGCAGAACGCTCGACTATCGTTGGCTAACAGCGTGTACGAGAACCCGTCGTTGCCGCGTCGAAAGATCCTGTTATCCACCGGGTCGCATAATTACAGGCCGCCGTTGGAGCGGTCCAAGTCGGCGCCGCGGCTCGTGTCCATCGAAGAGAGCTTGGAAGAGGATGACGAACCGGCCGACTCCTGCGCAGCGTTTAGGAGATGTCGAGCAGAGAACCGGTTGCGGACCGGCACGCTGCGCAACCGGTTGGGCGGACTTCACGGTTATAGGGAGACGGCCGCCACCACTGCTGCAGCCATTACTGCCGCCACCGTCGCCGCTGCTACTGAATCCTCTGCCGACGGCACTACCGACGCCACTGGAATGATAGGCGAAATCGAAAACCGACTAGCCAAAAACTTGCAGCTCGAAGACGTCGGATCGACCGATGACGGCGCACAACCATCTCAAGACATAGATTGCGATTCGATTGAATCATTACCGTCTTATCGAGACGTCGTAGCCGAAGATCAAGAATCCACTTCGTCCTCTTCGTCTTCGACGATTTGCGTCGAACAACAACAGCATGAACTGCTTCCCAAGTACAACGAAGTGATTGTCGACTGTCCACAAGGTCCAGAAGACGTGTGCTACAAATACAACAGCTTGGTCAGGGACCGGAAGAGGCTATTCGAGAGCATAGGTGGAGGCGTAGGTAAACGTCGCGATCAGTTCAAACGAATGAGCTCAGACTCGGAGCTTCTGGGCGCCTACAACAACCTGGTAAAGAACCGAAAGCTGATGTTTGAAGGCTGTTATCCAGATGACGACGGTGACGACGATTTGGACGTGAACGAGGAGGACTTGTTGGATGAGGACAAAGACTGCGGATATCCGGATGACGAGTCCACGCCCAGCTTACAGAGCATATCTAGTGGAGGATCGGATGCGTGCAAGAAGATTGCTGTGGACCTGGATTCGCTGTCAGAGGAGGACAGCGATGAGAGTGGTTACGTGGAGGCGCCGCCGTCACGTTGTCCTGTCGATGTGGCTGACCATGTTGACAAGGAAAAAGAGCTTCACAAACGCAGTAATCATGCCGTGACCGCCAGGAATGCTTCTGCTCGACGGGTCGGCGCGTGAAAATCGCCCGCTTAATACCATATAAAAAAGACTTTTGTTTTAAAATTATTATTGATTTTATGATTTTGAAAGCGTCGGGAGTGTATTGCCACTGTGTGTCTTGTTTGCACCAGGCAATACGATGTATTATGACGATATTATATGTGTTATTATTATATTATTATAATATATACCAACTATTATTGTTATTATAATTATTGTTGTTGTTATTCCAAACGTGTGTGACCCCGGCGTGGGCGTGCGTTAGTCGAATAAGAAACAAGGACGTCGAGAATGAACAAGCGCAAAGCGTTAATATTAAAAAAAAAAAAGAATTTTAAATACCATCTACCAGAACAAGCTCCTCCGTCGTCGTTATTGCAGTTGTTTTCGCGTGGAAGAAATAATCGTTACAATACTGTAGATAACTCATCGTGAAAAGCATTGCCTGCGGACAAAAACTTGTTTTTTCTGTCATTATTATTATTATTATTATTACTTTTAACATTGTAAAAAAACCAACCAGTTACAACGTATTTATTTCAACTTTTTCGTACGAAATTTAATATACCATGATTTTTTTGTCGTCATTTGCCACTCGCACTCGTACGTTACGCTATTATATAACACTATAATAACAATAATAATAATAATAATAATAATAATAATAATAACAACAACAATAATAATATCATAGATAATTATTACGTTATGTGTACATTTATATTTTATTATGTGTAAATGTCACAAATCGACCTAGTCAAGCAATCGTGTATTATTAGGAATTAGTGTTTTTAGGTTGCGAATCGTATGTTTTATAGTTTAATATTATGTATAAGTATATATGTATGTGTGTATGTGTATTGAGTATGTGTTGCTGGGAGAAATGAAAGGGTAGAGCAATAGGACTATTAGAGAAAGAGTGTTTTGTTGGGCCTTTGCTGACGATATTTTACTGTCGTAAAACATACGATTAATACCAAATAAGGTGCTAGCTATAATTTATCGAATTAGGCTTTTGATTATATTTTTTTTAGGTAGAGGTGTGGCCCACTCCATTACTTTCAAATTCTATCATTATGCACTTTTTTCTATACCCTTTCAAACAAAATTTGTGATTTTTTTTAAAAAATTTGAAAATATAATATTTTTAATTGAATTAGCTTATCGAGCGACGCGTTTTATATGTTTTTTATTTTTTGCACAAAAATTCATTATTATTAAATGTCAATCGACGTTCCTATGGCTTTTATTTTAATGAAAATCAGAGTCGAACAAAAAATGCTTAAAACCTCGTTTGAACGAGTATACTATTAGCGTAGATATAATATTTATTATATTTAAGTTCTATTTCATTGTGTGTATTCTACCTGTACCAATCTGATTGCCGTGATTAAATAATATTATATTTATTAAACTGAAAATAAAATAAAGCCGTTTTTTATTATGTGTTTATTGCAAATAATAAAATAATTACAAATTCTTTAAACCCAATTCAGTATGATGTGTGATGTATTGATGTGTCTAGATAGAATAAAAAATGAAATGTTAAACTATTAGGTAATGTAGATATCACATAAATACATATATATGTTACGTAAGTGTATTATTATCGTCGGATCCCAAACGGCTCCCGTCTATTGTTCGCTTATTCCCAAACGGCTCCCGTCCAAAAAGGTATAACGAACAGGTAAATTCCGAAACGGCTCCCGTCCAAAAAAAATGTTCAAATAGGTATAAATGTATAATTGTAAACTCCACAATAATTATTGGACATATGTACGCCTGTCTTCCAAAACAGCATACACAATACCGTTGATGTTATTACGCTCATCGTAATTCTGTTGTTGTATAGTATATACAGTTCATGTGTATCATATTTTTAAATTTAAAATATATAAAACGGAATATAAAGGAAAATATAGAATAGGTATATTAATAATGTCGAAAAAACCGAAACATTAAACTATAGCTAATTGGAAATATTGACAATATAATGTCGATAACAATTTTACTTATACAATTTTATCAGATTTGAGATATGGCACACAATCGTATCAATTTGTGCAGTTTGTTCAGATTTCAGTCTGTTCGCGATCTTCACCGTCGTTTAGTGCGGTCATTTATTTTTATTATTTTTCTAACATGTCTAGTGATATTCGTGAAAAAAAATTGGTAGAAAATTTTTGGTTTTCTTTCCATAAAAAACTCGCTGGTGACGTAGAGCGCTGGAAATGTACAACGCGTGGTTGTAAATCTTATTTTAAGCGAAATAGTATTGGCGAAATGTTTGATGAACATCTGGAACATAACCACTTACATTTAGATGACAATGTTATAAGGAGGAGGGAAATAAGTAGCAATTTAAAGCGTAAAGCTCAAGAAAATTTGCATGAAAAGCCCTCGAAACTTCTTCGAACTCAACTTGAACCGAACGATTTAAATGTGTTGACAACACAAGATGTCAACGCTATTCGCAAATCAGTATACTATGTTCATTCAAAATCCTTACCAAAATTACCAAAATCAACAGAAGAAGCTCAAGATAGTTTAGACAAAATTAATATAACAACTTTGGCGGGTGAGAATTTTTTATTTTTTAACGATAAAGCGTCAAATATTGTTATTCTTACGTGTAACACCAATTTAAACATTCTTAAGGAAAACCGATGTATATATGTTAATGGCACATTCAAGTATTGTCCGAAATTTTTTTATCAAATGTTCACCATTCATGTTTTAAATAACGGACATTATCTTCCCCTTATTTACTGTTTTTTACCAGATAAAACTTCAGTAACCTACGGAAAAGCCTTTTCAGCATTGTGTGATCACTTAAATCCACAAGTTGTTTTCGTAGATTTTGAGGAAGCTATTCACATTGCATTGCGAAAAACGTGGCCATCGGTTAACATAAAGGGGTGTAGATTTCATTTGGGTCAAAGTTGGTGGCGAATGATTCAGTCAGTGGGACTTGCTTCAGAATTCAGAGACAAAGATTCTGGAATCGGAAGAGCGTTGAAATATTTATTTGGCCTTCCTTACTTACCACAGTCAGACGTCTTAGATTGTTTTACAGATGATTTAATGGCTATCAAACCTATAGATGATAAAATAGACAAAGTTTTCGACTATATTTTTGAAAATTCCATAACTTCAGATAGTCGTTTCCCTCCTAAAATGTGGGCTGAGTGTTCATCTGCTCTTTCTTTGACCACAAATGGATGTGAAGCGTTCCACAGTACATTCAACAAAGAATTCAATACTACACACCCAAATATTTTTAAGGTTATTGACATACTAATCAATATACAATCTGAAACTCAAATTAAAGCTCGAAGTTATTTTAATACACCAAGATCGAAAAAAAAGCAAGAGTTCGTCGAAAAAATCATTTGCGAGTTTTCATCAAATAAAATATCACGCATGGACTATATAAAAAAATTGTGCTTAACAAATTTACCCGATATATGATTTTTTTAATATTTTTATTTATACATTTTTTACATTTTTTAAATATTTTTTTAACGTTAAAAATTTAAAATTTAATATTATACTATACACTTTTTTTTATATAATTTTAATAATTTACATGGTGTACACCAAGACATTTTTAACCACACCTCTTTTGAGACAGTCCTAAGTCTGTATAAAGTAGGAAGGAAATTGTCGTGTACAAAACCGGAGCCGTTTAGGAATTTACCTGTTCGTTAGACCTTTTTGGACGGGAGCCGTTTGGGAATTGACCTTTTTGTAAAACGGGAGCCGAATAGAGAAACGGGAGCCGAATGGGCTACGACCATTATTATATTGCTGCGCAATGTTAATTAAGAAAATAATCTGATTATTTAGACTTATTTATTTATTATCGCGTTCGTTAATGAACTTGAAAAATTATAATTTAATGTTTTTATTTTAACATATTATATTCTACCAAAATGCAATTTTTACGTTAGATTATTATACGTATTACTTATAATATGTGTGTGTGTGTACCTATAGACTCTATAGAGTAACCGTGTAATATTTATAATGATTATTATTTTGTAAAACTCTTCATAATTATTTGTATTTGTATTTTATTATTATTATTATTATTATTATTATTTTTTTTTGATAGTTGAATTAAATTGTTATTGAAAAAGAACAAGTTGGTTATATTTTATTAACCTTTTCGACTTTTTCTGTTTGTCCGTATTGACGATCGTTATACTATTATTACTATTATCATCGTCTAGTTGCCGATGTTTGTCGTCGTTGGCTAAAATGTAATACTATGAAAAATCATAATAATATGATTATGCGTAACATCGTAAAAAATATCGTCTCGTAAACCGCAACGGATTCGACAACAACGGATCGATATCGAATAACTCGATAACCGCGACCGGGGCGTGGATTTCGAACGCTACATGATATTCATTTTCGAACGTAATATTATTACCATACTTTTTTTTTCTGACGAAATACACGTCGCAGGGCTGATAGTTCGACATAATACGCCGTAATGAACTACACCTTTGTGAGTTTGTGCGCGCGTTAATCGTATACCTCCGGGACATCGTTTCGCAATCGCGTGGCGCCGCCCGGACGGAATAACAAGTCCGTTTATTTCGCTCATAGTTATACGACTGTAGCCCATAAGCGCAAAATACGATTCGAACGCAACCCAAAAGTGCAAAAATAAATATTCCATAAGCGCAAAAAATAAATACCTTTTTAACAAACTATAAGCGCAAATAAATTTTACAAAATAAAGTGTGTATTGTACGTTACATATCAATGTATATTGTGTATATTGTATAGTTATTTTAAATGATTTTCAACTTTCACCGTAAATCGTTACGATAAAATATGATACGATAATACTAAACTTCAATTGAACTCGATCACTGTTTATGTTTTTTTAATAATAATTATAAAAATTCTATACATTTAATTAAAACGAATAATTTTATAATGAAACTTATAGTGTAACGAGTACGATATATTTTTTTTTTTATAATTTATTTAGCTTCGAGTATAAAACTATTACAGCTCAACAATTATAATAAAATGCTTGATACTAAATACATAATAGTGACATTAAGATAAATAGAAATAATTATCGGCGAATTTGACATAATTGATAATTACTAATTAGGCTTATTAGATAGAGAATAAAGGGCCCGATATTTATTTTTGCGCTTTTATTTCACTACCAATAGGTACAAAAGCGTAAAATGTATCTGCGCTATTGGTCTATCGAAAAAATCGAAAATTTGCGCTTTTGGATTTCACCGAGTTATACCCGACTAAAATAATATTGTATTATTTTAGTGATAAGATTCATATACCTTTAAAAATATTTGTCTTATGCATTTTTTTATAAAAAAAAAAGGAATTCAAATAGGTGTGTATTACAATTAAAATGAGAAAATACGCTGACCATAAATATTAGGTACACGTCATATAGAATACTACCGGGATAGTCATAAACATTACAAGAAATCATTAAAATATGACGCGTAATATTCAACATCTCGAGATCCGACGGGCATAATAATATACTGCCTATGTACTCGTATTATTCGCACATAATAATATAATTCCTCGTCGTGGTAATAAATACACAACTGCCGTTTGTGTATGAAAATAATGTACATAATATATGGTTTTATTAATTATAATCCGGTCTCGGGTGCAATTAACAGTGGAAATACATATTGCGAAATACACGTGTCGGCTGACGTTGTAAATTCGCGGAATCCGAATCGATCGAACGAGCAGAAAGATCTAGCAATATTCATGTATACACGTAGAGGTATTGATTCGGCCACGCTGCAGGAGTGAGTATGGCATATGAAATATTCCGCTTTTGGTGGGCCCGGCGCTGTGGCGGTGGGAATAGTTGCCGTGGGAAACTACGTAGTACGTACCTATATCATTTTACTAACTAGATATAATAATATTAAACACGAGTTGAAAATTATCTTTCGTCACGTGTGTGTAAATGTCCTAATTTTTCGTGACGCAGTAAAAAATACGGTTTAGGGGGTTGATCTAGTAGATATATCCATATCCGCAAAGATCTGGTCTGCAGCGTGTACATAAAACTAATGAGCACTTTGGCACTACTGCAATAAATACGAGGTAGGTACCGACAAGGTGTCTCGCCGTGCTAATGCTTTTTG